GTGCTCCCGCTAGTATTGCATCGCTAGCGTTTCAGGGTGTAGGCCATTTAGCACAGAGAACGTAGAGAACGTCCAAAGAGGCGTACAGCTTGACCACGCCCTCAGTGCATTTACCGTCAGTGTAAGACCCGCTACAAGGTGTGTGCTGGGTGGCGTAGCTTAGATGGATGGGTGTCTTCGGTTCAGTGGTCAGCAGCAGCCATGAGTGAATTCTACGCTAATGTGTTGGGGAAGGTGGAATCCAGGGTGGGGTGGGGTGGAACGGAACGGAACGACCAGGTCGGACGGAAATGTACAGTAGATTGTCAGAAGGACCTTGTCCAAAGAATGATGCAAGGAGAGGACCTTGCAGTCCATCGACGTGGAACGGTCCAAAATATCTAGACGAGCGGTGAAAGAGGGTCAACAATAGATCCTGTCAATCACCAAACCGAACGGGACTGGAGGGAATGGGATGGACTGACGGTGCTGTCTGTTGTGAGGCGGGGATACACCGTGTGACAATAGCGGACGGAGGAGGCGAGGGAAGAACCCGCCCGCCTCAAACAAACGAACGCGGACGGGGCGGTGGGTGGGTTACGCGACGCGACGCGAGTGTCAGTGAAAGTCTGACACGCAGGATGTCGGTTGGAGGGGCGGGGCAAGACGGGATGGAACAACGTGTTCTTTCCTGCTCGTCTTTCGGTTCTCCCCTGATCTGCTTCTTGGCAGCCGACAAGTTCAAGTCAAGTGATGTGATGAGCTGGGGGAACTTCAAGGTGCGTGAATCCAGGCGAAGGTGCGGCATTGAAGCTTGTGTGATTGGTGGTTGCCTGCTAAAGTATGCGCAGGATACGTGTGTGGCTGGTTTGATGAGCTGTAAAGAGAATCTGGATTTTGACAGGGCTGTCTCGGCAACATTCTTTGACCGCCCGCAACATGCGTTGCAGGTGCATCATCAGTGACATCAGTTTGATGAGTGCAGAAAAGTGCAGCGTTTGTGGTGGAATAGAGTACACCCTTGTTCTCACCCTTCTCACCATCGCGCACACTAGCTACAGTTTTTGGACGTAGCGGACTGGTGCGATAACTCTGTTGCGGGCAAAGTCGCACGAGGTGACGAAACAAGCCTTGGGCAGTAAAAAACCGTTAACGTTGAATAGCCATCCCAACCGTTTCGAAAACGACAGTGCCATTTTTTAAAGTTTGAAACCCTGACTGACCGCCTTGGGTCAAATTGTCACTAAACGCATGTGATAGGTGTCCGTTGCGGCTACACCAGGCGTCCTGGTCAGTCTAACATTTCCCAGTCTATCGAGAAAGAGGGTGTAGAGGTTCTTCTACACCCCCCTGGCAAGAACTTCAGACATAAACCATTCCTGCGAGGATGCATTCTTGCCAGATCTCCACTTACAGCATTGGGATGATATGATTTTTCCTATTTGGCAATGTTGCCCGTATCAGTGGGCTATTATATTTTCACAGGGCAGATAATGGAGCTCGACGATTGGAGAATAAGATGTCAGGGCATAATTAAAACGTTTGAGGGGTTCGCTTGAGGACATTTGGGTGTTTTTTGTTCAGCAAGAGATGGCAAGCTGATGACGCAAACAAGGTGACATCAAGACTGAGGGTCAAGTGACAAGACTTCCGCGGAAAGGCTTTGAAATGTGGAGCTGGTGGTGACGTCGCTTTCGTAAAAGGATTGACGACGGTGACACGTCGACGTCGCGTGAAGGATTGGGTTACCGGATTGTGCGAATAAATCCCGGGACCAAACAGCGAGCTGTGTGCTTGCACCAATAGCTGGCAATGGTGAACCCAACCAGAAATCACTGGAAATGGTGTGGAAGTCTCACCAACCTTCCAGACAGCTCGCAAAACCCGAAATCCCTCCTGCGATTCGTCCTGCGACGTAACTGACCCACCACATGGCATCGCCATGTTCATGAGGCAACATGCGACCCGTCTCGCGACCCTTCCACGCCGTTTTTGGCGGAGGGTTCTCGAGGAGGACAAAATTCCTAGAAAGTACCTCGCACACACCTGCCCGTCATCTCCGCAAAGCTTCCCCCAGCTGCGCCAGCTAGCACCACCAGCTGGCAAAGCATCACCAGCCAATAACCAGTCGCTGCGTGCCCGCGTTCATTTTCGGGGCTAGGTGACGTTTTCCTTACCGACACTCACAGTTGTCAAGCACACTTACGGTAAAAGCTTGGGAGGGGAGGAGAGATGTAGGACGAACTGAACAGTCCGCCAGAGCACCTTCCTGTCTCCCCTCCACCACCACCCTTCCTCACCCAATCCCCTTCCACCCACACCCCAACCCCTAGGCCACAAAGCACGCCAAGAATCCACTGTGGTGGTGAGACCATTTCCCCAGCTGCCCGGCAACATTCACTGCACCGCTCCACACGGCATCCACATGGCGGCTCGAAACCACCTCCCCTCCCCAGTGGAACGTTCCCCCCTGGAGACTGGAACGTTCCGGATTCCCACCCCCCTGCCTCGCTGACGCATCTCTCGCTTGCCCCTTTCTTTCCCGTTCCCCCATCCCCTCTCTCACCCCCCCTCTTCCCCCTATCCCCAGTGCCCCTGTGCCCCGCTGCCCCCTGAAGCCCAGTCTCCCAAAGGGACGCCAGGGGGCGGAGTGAGGGAGACGACGAGTCACAAAGACCAGCACGGCACGCCACCCCACACGCAACCTCGCCACCACCATCGCCTTCACCTCCACGCATAAATGCGTGCTGGTGACTTCATCATCTAAGTCCGAATTCAGAGTTTCTAAAACCTCTATCCACCTGGCGTGACGATCATTCTCCAACAATTTCTTCAAGGCATTGATTACTTACTTCAAATTCAGCGTTCAGCGTATTTGCATTTAAATATGGCCCAGCCGCTTCACCTATCGAAGTCTCTCAACATGAGCCGAAAAAGAAAACTAGACGTCGTCGAGCAGGAGCTGTCTTCTGCATCCGACTCGAACCCTCAGAAACTGCACAAGAGCTCTCTCCTCGACTCCACCATGGCCACCGCGACCTCCATCCCCGTTTTCGACTTCCCCACCGGCTCGATTAAGGATTATTTCACAGTTGACGCTGATCTGCTGGGATCAGGGGAATTCGGGGTGGTTCGCCGCTGCATTGACAACGCCACGGGCGAAACCTTCGCCTGCAAGACGATTCAGAAGAGCCGCCTCGTGTCCGAGTCGGACCGCGAGGAGGTTCGCCGGGAGGTTGGGGCAATGCAGCGCGTGATGGGTCACCCAGGCGTAGTTAATCTCCGCGCGGTCTTCGAGGATGATAAGGAGGTGCACATAGTCATGGAGTATTGCGAAGGCGGGGAGCTTTTTGACGAGGTGATTCGACGGGGAAGGATCCCTGAGAAGGAAGCTGCGCTGCTGTTCCGCCAAATCGTCTCAGCCGTCGCATTTTGCCACGCCCGCGGCGTAATGCACCGCGACCTTAAACCCGAGAACATCCTCCTCAAGAAGCAGCTCGTTAACGGAAGGGAAGCGACGTTCGCTAAGCTCGCGGATTTCGGCCTGGCTATCGGCCTCGAGGAGGGCGCAAAGGCTACCGGCGCCGCCGGTTCGCCGTTTTACATGGCGCCTGAGGTCCTGACCGGGGAGTACGGCGTAGAAGCCGACGTGTGGTCTCTAGGAGTCATCTTATACGTTCTGCTCAGCGGGAACACTCCATTCTGGGGTCCTGACGATAACGCGGTTTTCGCGTCGGTGCTCGCCGGGAGAGTGGACATGTCCGGTCCTGCTTGGGCGGGAGTGTCGGCGGAAGCGCGGAGCCTCATTCGGTGCATGCTGCAGCGCGATCCGCGGAGACGGCCGGGTGCGGCGAAGGTGCTGTCGCACCCGTGGATCTTGGTGCATCTTTACGGCGGGAGAGTGGTGCGGAAGGTAGTGAACGTTCAGCAGCTGCAGCACGAGCGGGCGGGGATTGCGCAAGCTGCGGGGGTTGCTGCTGCCGCTCCTGCTGCGCCGGGCGCGTGAGCTGTCCGGAGATTTTTCTGCGACCGACGCGGGATTTAGAAGCTTCAAGAACGACTGACTGAAGATTCTTTCTGTGGCTTACTGTTCGCGGGAGATTTTCCTGCGACCTCCCGCCTTACTTGGTGACGCCGACGCGCGCGTTGGTTGGTGACAATGAAGGGGCCATGGGAAGTGCCGAACGCCAGGTGGATGCCAACGCAAGCCTTGCTTTACGTTTATCCTTGGAGGAACGCGCTCCGTTCCTTCAACGAATCGCAAGGAGGCTTGCCTTGGCATATTGCCTCACACTCTTATGGTTACGTACAATCTGTAAATATTGGGTAAAAAAAACATTTTAATTGTATATTAGCTAATTCAATCTAATGTGCTGTTCCATATTAATTCGAACAATTATCTCTTCCACTTATTTTTTTTTTTTGTAGTGAAATACCAATGTGACCTCTAGGAATCAACCTGCTTCGCACTACATTAGACACCTCCATAAGGTAGTGGTAGCACGAACCTCTTCCCTCTCTGGTGGAGTTGAACCAAATTAACTGGTATTAAAACCCACGGCCCAAATTGCCCACCGTGTGCAAGCTTTGAAAAGTACCGCTGCTACAATTTGGGACTTCCGAAGTCTGACACAACCACCAGGGTAAAAACGCGGGGCTGGCTAGGTCTGGCGAAAAAAAAGATTTTAACGAGATCGGAAACAGTCGCCGAAACCCAAACCAGTAAAATTCCCTCTCGTCATCTTTTTTAAACTTATGCAATTTTGGCCGAGGCTTGAAGGGCATATCACCAGTGTGGCAAGCAGAAGACTGGATATAATCACAACAAAACCTCAATTACCATGTGCACTCAATTTACACCCAGTGTGACTATGTACAAGTGAATCTCAGTACAGTATCCTTCCCGATTCTCCTTCCATCTTTACAATATACATCAGATTCTCCCATTCACATTGCAAGAGCAGTGCAACATGAGCTACACCAGATGCTCTGCCCACTGCCTCCACTCCTGAAGCTTTCCACTATCCAATGATGTCGTCCCGCAAAGTCACCAACCCCATCACCTCCTGCTGCCCCTCGCTTCTCGACCTCTCCACCCCTCCGAACTCCTTCCCCCCCTGAACACATCTCCTCACTTCTCCCCACCCCTGCCCACGTCAGCACCAACAGCAAGGGCAACGTCGGCCGGCACAGCAGCGAACTTGCCAATGATATCCCGCAGAGTCACCACCCCTACCACCTCCTGCAGCCCCCCTCCTTCTCACCCCCATCACCTCCTGCTGCCCTCCACTTCTCAACCTCTCCACCCCTCCTCACTCCTCACCACCACTCATCATTCCTCCCCACCCACGTCAGCACCAGCAGCCAGGGCAACGTCGGCCGGCACGGCAGCAAACTTGCCAATGATATTTCGCAGAGTCACCACCCCTACCACCTCCTGCTGCCCAGCGCTAACAGCACCAGCACCACCAGCACCCCCAGCAGCACCAGCACCCCCAGCAGCACCAGCACCCCCAGCAGCACCAGCAGCACCAGCAGCACCAGCACCACCAGCAGCACCAGCACCCCCAGCAGCACCAGCACCCCCAGCAGCACCAGCACCCCCAGCAGCACCAGCACCCCCAGCAGCACCAGCACCCCCAGCAGCACCAGCACCCCCAGCAGCACCAGCACCCCCAGCAGCACCAGCACCCCCAGCAGCACCAGCACCCCCAGCAGCACCAGCACCCCCAGCAGCACCAGCACCCCCAGCAGCACCAGCACCCCCAGCAGCACCAGCACCCCCAGCAGCACCAGCACCCCCAGCAGCACCAGCACCCCCAGCAGCACCAGCAGCACCAGCAGCACCAGCAGCACCAGCAGCACCAGCAGCACCAGCAGCACCAGCACCCCCAGCAGCACCAGCACCCCCAGCAGCACCAGCAGCACCAGCAGCACCAGCACCACCAGCCACATCAGCAGCAGGTGCAGCAGCAGCAGCAGCGCTCGTAGAAGCAGAAGCAGGTGAGGAGGTGACATAGATGCGATGAATGTGGGTGCGGTTGAGAGCATGGAGCACGTTGCGGAGAGGCGTGGCGGGGGAACAGGTGATGGGGGGGGTCATGACCGGCCAGATGACCTCCGTGGCTGATGAGATAGGCTCGTTTGCTGCTGCTATGAAGTCTCGCACAGTGAACGACCTGCAGAGGAAAAGAAGAGCATGGAAAAGGGGAGAACGGGGAAGGGGGGAACGAGGAAGGGGGGAACGAGGAAGGGGGGAACGAGGAAGGGGGGAACGAGGAAGGGGGGAACGAGGAAGGGGGGAACGAGGAAGGGGGGAACGAGGAAGGGGGGAACGAGGAAGGGGGGAACGAGGAAGGGGGGAACGAGGAAGGGGGGAACGAGGAAGGGGGGAACGAGGAAGGGGGGAACGAGGAAGGGGGGAACGAGGAAGGGGGGAACAAGGAAGGGGGGAACGAGGAAGGGGGGAACGAGGAAGGGGAGAACGAGGAAGGGGAGAACGAGGAAGGGGGGAAGGGGAGGAGGCGAGGAGGTGACGTAGGTGCGGTGCGGTGAATGTGGGTGCGGTTGAGAGCATGGAGCACGTTGCGCAGAGGCGTGGTGGGCGAGCAGGTGATGGGTGGCGTCATGACCAGCCAGATCACTTCTGTTGCTGATGAGATTGGTTCATTGGCTGCTGTTATAAAATCCCGAACTGTGAAGGACCTGGTAACGGGGGAAATGGGAAGAAAAGTTCATGGGGGGGCGAGCAGGTGATTGGGAGCATCAAGACCGACCGGCCAGATGACTTCTGTAACGGATGAGATAGGTTCATTCGCCGGTGCTATAAAGTCCCGCACTGGGTAGGTAAGCTGGTGATGGGGGGGTGTCATGACCGGCCAGATCACTTCTGTGGCGGAAAAGGGGGGAATGGCTGAGCGAGCGAGCAGGTGATGATGGGGGGGTGTCATGACCGGCCAGATCACTTCTGTAGCTGATGAGATGGGCTCGTTGGCTGCTGTTATGTGCGACTCACTGCTCGGCCTTTGAAAAATTCTGGCGAGCCCATGAGGTGCAGAACGTCGCGCGCACTGATGTTGGCACATGGTGTATGCGCTTAACACCAGTACCTCGAATACCCCACTCACTGCTCCTGGCGGCGTTTGACGATCTCTGGTGAGCCCGCGCGGTGCAGATTGTCGCGCGCACTCATGTCTTTTGAGGCGCCCAAAAAGAGGTGCAAGATTGTCCCGCGCCCTGATGTTGGCACACGATGCAGTTAAGTCTTCAGAAGGTGCTGAAGACCCAATGCACTCTGGGCTTTAAGAAACTCACTGCTCCTAAGGCCCTTTGAAGATCCCCACAATAGATTCACATCCCATACATATCAGGCATGTCAATTCTGCACTCACCCTGCAATTGTTGAGAACGCAGAGAGATGAGTATGGTGGTGCTGTTGGTGCTGAAAGGGAGGAGACAGAAAGCTAAAAAAGACCAGAAAAACTTGTGGGCAACTGTGTCAGGAGTGGGATTTGAACCCACGCCCTTTCGGACCAGTACCTGAAACTGGCGCCTTAGACCAACTCGGCCATCCTGACACGTTTTCATATATGAGGCCACTGGCCCTAGCGCCGATTGAATATCTGGAGAGCCCACGAGGTGCAGAATGACTCGCGCACTGATGTCGGGGGGTAGGGGGTTTCAGGAAGTGACCCACTTTACCCAGTGCCGTTCACAACACATTGCCCCAGGTGCCCCTAGAGTGCCACTTAAGTGCCACTCACTGCTCCTGGCTGTGCTTGAAGATCTCTGGCGAGCCCACGAGGTGCAGAATGTTGCCGCACTGATGTTGGCAACGAGGCTGCTGAGAGGTTTTCGAAGCAGCCAAAGATCCACTTTACCCACTGCCTACACCCACTGCCCGTTCACAACACATTGACCCCTACGCCCCACTCACTGCTCCTGGCGCCGCTTGAAAATCTCGGGCGAACCCACGAGGTGCAGAATGTCCCGCGCACTGATGTTGGCGATGAGGCGGTTGCTTCCCTTGGCCACCACGGGCACCCCTCCTATGTCGTGCTCCATCATCAGCCGAAAGGGCTCTGTCACTGCTGCATCGTCTTCCACCTGGAATAGGGCAAAGAAATCGCAACGAGGCAGCTTTTAAGTCGACTCAAAAGGAAAGCGCAACGAGGCATAGAGTAAAGGAAGAGAGGCGGGCGGTCGTAAGTTTAGCTGGACAGGGGGAGAGAGAGAGAGAGAGAGGCGCCACACATGCAGCTACACTCGCACTGGCACTGAGTGGTTCCATGCCAGCACCGCAGACTAGCCTGACAAGCTCCTCAGGTCGCACAGGGAAATGGTTTCGACCTGGATCCAACATGCTGTAGGGTTTCTTTGAGATTTCTCAAAAAAACCTGGATCCAACAGGTAACTCGTCCTAACCTCATAGTAGCCTGACAAGCTCCTCAGGTCACATGAGTGGCAGCCCGAGCGCAGCCAGAGAGCAGTCAGCTATAGAACTGAATCACGGCATGCCGTCACATAAGCATAGGAAGACCATGCTTCTCTCAAACATGCGATTCTAAACCACGCGTTACTCCCAGGGATTCACTTCAACCGCACAGTACCTTGACAAGTTCTCCAGGTTGCATCAGGGGCAGCCCCAGCTCAGCCAGCGAGCAATCAGCGATCGAATTAAACCACGGCATGCCGTTACACTCGCACAGGAAGGCCACTGCTGCAGACTGCGTGATCACCGTCGATATCGCTGACTCATGCTCCGTTCACATGACCTCTCAACCACGTGTCACCCTGAAAAACAACCTTTGAACCGCACAGTACCTTGACAACTCAGCCAGAGTGCAATCTGCGATCGAATTAAACCAGGGCATGCCGTCACACTCGCACAGGAAGGCCACCGCAGCAGACTGCGTGATCACCGTCGAGATTGCCGACTCGGGGCCGGGCGGCAGCACTGGCACGGAGCGGATGGCATACCTGGGCACGAGGGAAATGAGTGAGATAAAGTAGAGCGGAGCCACATTTTTGACACGCTTTTTGTGACGATTCTAGAGGCGCCTAAATCTTTGAAAAAGAGGGGAAATGGAGAGAGAAGCACAATTGGGTTCACTTCTGAGATGAGAAGCAACATCGGAGGCAAAGGAGTGGATATCACACTTGGACCTGAGGAGGAAGGAAGAGCGTGAGGAGCGCTATTGGAGTGGGAAGACAAGAGACAAGAAGCAAGAGGAGTGGATAGCAAGAGGCTATTGAGCGCTTATGAAAGGCGCTATTTGAGGGACAAGAGGAGTGGGATGGCATACTTGGACATGAGGAGGAAGAGCGTGAGGAGCGCTATTGGAGTGGGAAGACAAGAGACAAGAGGCAAGAGGAGTGGATAGCAAGAGGCTATTTAGGCGCTTGTGGGAGCGAAGTGGCCTCCCTGGTAGTGTTTCTGGAGAGGATGGCGCAGTGCTTTGAAGTGGTGGTGTTCTCAGACCAGCTCAATCTGGTGAGTTGAGATGCGGGTATTTGTGGGTTTTTTTAGGCGCTTGTGGGAGCGAAGTGGCCTCCCTGGTAGTGTTTCTGGAGAGGATGGCGCAGTGCTTTGAAGTGGTGGTGTTCTCCGACCAGCTCAACCTGGTGAGTTGAGATGCGGGTATTTGTGGGTGTTTTTAGGCGCTTGTGGGAGCGCTTATGAAAGGCGCTATTTGAGGGACAAGAGGAGTGGGATGGATAGCATACTTGGACATGAGGAGGAAGAGCGTGAGAAGCGTGTCGGACGGCTTGAGATACACAAACGGCGACCAGCGGAACGATCCGGCTAGATCCGCAACCCGCGTGGTGTGGAACGCCTCATTCTTGAGAAGCTCCTCGAAAAAGAATCGGCCGGTGCGAGGGGATGAAGCCATGGCTCCTGCTGATTCCCCAGGTGCTCCTTCCCCAGTGGAGGCCTGGGCGCCCAGGGCTCCCGAGGCTGCAGCTCCGGCGGCTGCCGCGGCTGACACAGGTCCGGCCGAAGCTCCGAGCGCGGCTGTCCCGGCTGCTGCGACGAAGGAGCCGACAAGGGAGGCAGCGAGGGTCGACGCCGTGGCGTAGCCGATCGAAGATGCTTCGAGCTGCAAGGGACGGGAAGGCAAGACGGCAGGACGGCAGGAGGGCAGGAGGGCAGGAGGGCAGGAGGGCAGGAGGGCAGGAGATCAACTACTGCGTTCATTGCTTCAGAGAATTAGCAAAAGCAACTCCAATACATGGGCACACTCACATTGGCAAAGACCCAGAGGATAACCGCGCCTGCCAAATCCATCATGCCCAAGTACTGAGGCTCCCACTCCTCCACCTCCACCTCCTCCAATGTTTCCTCCTCCTCCATCTCCCCTCCTCCCTCTGCTGGCTCTTCCACCACCCCCGTTGCTCCTTCTCCCTCCCCTCCCTCTTGTTGCTCTGATTCAGTCATTTCAACGTCAGTTGCCCCGCCCCTGCCCCGGGCCCGCCCTGCAGCCTCTCCAGCAATGCTTCTAACGGGTACAGTGGTGAGGTTGTGGCGAGACAGCAGCTTGATGGCATCGTACAGCGTCGTGTTGGCCGTCACCTCGTGCACTGGGGTGGGGGGGGGAGGAGGGGGCAGGGGGAAGGAGGAGGGGGGGGGTGGAGGAGGGGAGACGGGAGGAAAGGAAAATTATGAGAGCAGCTTGCTGGCATCGTACAGAGTCGTGTTGGGCCCAAAAAAAAAAAAAAAAAAAAAGTCACATCATGCACCCAATTCTGGAGGAGGATGGGGTCAGCAAGAAAGTGGGGGAGGAGAGGAAGAGTGGGGGAGGAGAGGAAGAGGGGGGGAATGGTTGGCTCAGAGGACAGAACCAGCAGACTTAAAACAACGGCAGTTCAGAAGGTGGCTCATACCCGATGTGACTTTAGGGAAGAGCGAAATCGGCAGCAGCGCCAGCACCTGGCTCACGGCAACCAGCTTCTTTTCAGTCACCTCGTCTGCAGTCACCCTCCGCGCCCTCTCCCTCTCCGCCTCACCTTCCGCCCTTCCCCCTTCCGCCCTTCCCGCTTCCGCCCTTCCCCCTTCCGCCGCCCTCTCCCCTCCGCCCCACTTCCCCTCCCGCCGCGCCTGGTGCTGCTCGCGCCCAATCTGCTCCCACCACTCCTCGATTTTCTCCTTGAGACTCGCGGGCGGCGCCGCCACGTGAATCAGCGCCCTCTCCCGCTCCGCCGGAGCCTCCCCAGTTCCGCCGCCAGGAGCGCCCCCCGCGCGGCCAACCTCCGCCGCCATACTGCTGCACTTACTGGATCAAATAATGTCGCGCACGGAGCCCGCGAACTTGCCTTTGCGCCTACAGGTGCTCAAGAACGGCGAGAACAGGGGGATAGTAGAATGGCTCTCTCTAAGCAAGAAGCCGGCCGACGCACGAGATGATGGTACCGCTTTAACGAAGCACGAACGAAAAGCGGAAAGGGATCGTCGTTTCTACGACCAGGAAGAAACCCAACTGAAAAGCTTGGTGCATAGAGCTTGGAACAGCTTCGAGCATCCAAGAGTGATTCGCTCTACCAACTCGTATGTCGCTCTGGAAGGAATTACCTCAAGAACGCGTGCGTCGATCGTACCGCCCTGGCTGCAACCCTCTTTCCTCTTCTCGAACCGAAACGCTCAAACGCGATTCGGACTCGCGAACAAGAAACGACAGAAGGGACACCGCACACAGGTGGATACCATCTCAGAGAAGAGAGACGAGACGAGGGGAGACGAGACGAGCAGCAGCGGCCTGCTGAAGGGAATTCGCGCCACGGGATGCGGAAATTGAGCATTTGAGGCGTCCGCACAAACGAGAATCGAGTCGCAGTTGGATGATGTGATGATGTGGCGACGTACGTACGCGTGGCCCTTCAAAAGCGCATGAATAACGCGCAGACGTCATCTCACTACAACTCCAGCACAGCATTCCTCTGCGCCAGCGCAGCAGCACGACGAATGAACGCGTGACAGAGCGATACAGGTATGCGCGGACGCGGCAGCGGGGACTGGAACAGCCATGCCATCAGCCATGACCCTGTGCCGAGGGCGAGGGGCACGGTGTAGGCATGGCGAGGGCATGGGCGATCGCATTGTTACCCATCCTTGTGGCGTGGCGATAACCCCCATGCTCGGCAGATCGATGTGCATGGCGCTCGAGCATCTCGATTCTCGAACCAAATTTCGCCTGACCTTCACACAGCTCGAGACAGTCTCCAACGCGGAGCGCGCTAAGCCATGCAGCCTTCGCGGGATTTACGCTGGACACGTGAGTGCGTTCTCTTGCGCTGCATTGGTGCCCTCGCCAATGTGCTGTATTCGAGAAAGGTAATGGGTGTTAGTTGTCATGTCAGCGCACACTGTAAATCACGCTATTGAGTTGGGCTCTTAAAGCCGTGGCCCAACTATCAACTTCAACTTCAAAGTATTATAGCTTGGAAGAGGTTGACCCAGGCAGTTCAGAGCCGAGAAGTTTGTCCTCTTCTGGTTTTCCAGTTTTTTCGTCCAATAGAATTCAAGTTACTCACATGCCATTTTTGTCCCCCTACTGTTCCTAAGAAGTTGCACCCCGCCTTTAAGCATGTTGTAACTACACTAGTGACGTTTTCTGATAGAGCAAACGCTACAAATCACAACCATACGCAAGTAACCAGCCAAGCAAGTCAACCAGCTGTAGACGAGCGCTCCGGTAATGGAGGTGCTGTGAGTGAGCATCCCACAGTGCATTGCTATGTACGAAAGACGACACACCTACCGTATCCACCCATCACTGCACACTGCATCACAAAACCTAGAATTTTCTGTACGAAACCATGGCCACTACCTCAGCAGCAGCTCGCCCTGTCAACAACTTTAATCACAGTGTAACCTGTTTTCTAAAGTAGCAAATTGAAGACAAGCGTTACGCGGAGAACTCGTCATCGTTGTTGAGCATGGGCTGCCGTGCCACCTGCTGGTCGTTCTGACTGTCCAGCGGCATGTACTGCGCCATGATGGCCCGGATCTCCGAGTCCATGTATGACTGGTGGAGGAGAGACGGGTTAAGGTGGGGTGGGCGGGGAAGAGGGAGAGGGGAGAGGGGGGGTTTGCGAGAAGATTGATGAAAAACGCAAGGATTGTCTGATCCACCTGTTCAGAGGCATGCACTGCGGCATGATGGCCCTGATCTCTGAGTCCATGTATGACTGGCATGTGATGAGTCGATTTTTTACCCGACTAAAGAATCGACTAGCAATCGAGGAGGGCGATGGGATGGGGGGGGTTGGGGTTGGGGGGAGTTGAAACAAGGTATTCAAGTCGTAAATCTCCTGTCCAGCGGCATGTACTGTGCCATAATGGCCCGGATCTCCGAGTCCCATGTATGACTGGTGGAGGAGGGAGGAAGAAATGCGACAAGGCCTGTCTGTTTGAAATGCGGAGAGGCAGCCCTGCACAGGTGGTGCCTGTGTTGCTGTGCGCATGTGCAACGGGGTTTGGCTGGTGTGTGTTGTGCAGTGCATTGTTCAGTGCGCTGGTGTGCTGGAGTGCTGTGTGCCAATCCAAATGTGGTGCGTTCTTAACTTTTGAGTCGACTCAAAAGTGCGCTGGCGTGCTGGTGTGCTGTGTGCCAAATGTGGTACGTTCTTGGCTGCATATATAGCGCGGCACAGACGAAATAAACTAAGCACTCGCAGAACCCTCCACTCACCCTGACCCCCTCCACTCACCCTGACTGTCCACTCACCCTCACCCTGAGCCTCCACTCACCCTGAGGCGGTACTTGTACACGATATAAGCCACAATGGCCACAGCGACCAGTGAGCCCAGCACAATGGAGCCGAATCAAGAGCCTCAACTCACCCTGAAGGGACTCCACTCACCCTGAGGCGGTACTTGTACACGACATAAGCCACGATGGCCACAACCACGAGTGAGCCCAGCACAATGCCCGCCACCATTCCCCACAGCCGCGTGGGCGGTGTGCCTCCCTCCTTGCCTGCAGGTGGCGAGGGGCGAAAGCAGGCAGGGAATGGGGGAGGGAGGGACGAGAAAAGAGGGGATACTATGAGTCGACTCAAATAGACTCACAGCTGCGTGGTGGGCACGCCGCCCTCGTCTGCAGGTGGAAATCCTAAGTAAAACACACTGATGAGCCAGACACACGTTTATGCAGCAACTAGTAAGTTACTCACTGATGCACGTGTCCGAGACCTTGAGGTAGACCAGCCCGTTGTGGCACGAGCACTCGCACAACCGAAACACAACAATGGTTCACAGCCTACGTTTATGCAGTAACTAGTTAGTTACTCACTGATGCACGTGTCCGAGTCCTTGAAATAAACCAGCCCGTTGTAGCTCGAGCACTCGCACGACCCAAAGGTGTTCTTGCAGTGACAAACGAATGACACTCCTTATTCACATCCCAACAGCACGCCACTCACTCATGCATGCCACGTGCACACCCATGCACGCCAACTCACTGATGCAAGTATCCGAGTCCTTGAGATACACCAGCCCGTTGTAGAACGAGCACTCGCACGACCCGAACGTGTTCTCGGTAGGCAACTCACACTCATTCACATCACATCCCAACACCAGGTCACTCAACCATGCACAGCACTCACTGATGCACGTGTCTGAGTCCTTGAGATACACCAGCCCGTTGTAGCACGAGCACTCGTACGACCCGAATGTGTTCTTGCAGTGGCAGTCCACACAGCTGCATGCGCTGTGCTCGGAGCACTCGTCTATGTCCTCACACTTGAACCCGTCTCCCCTGAAGCCTGGCGGGCACACACACTGGGTCGATGAACTGTCCTGCTCGGTGGGGAGTGGTGGAGAAGGGTGGAAAAAGAGAGGAAGAGGTGGGGTAGGGTGGGGTGGGAAGGTAAATGGGAGAGGGCGGTGCGGACGGGGCCTGTGCTCGGATCACTCGTCTATGTCCTCACACTTGAACCCGTCTCCCCTGAAGCCTGGCGGGCACACACACTGGGTCGATGAGCTCTCCTGCACATGTGAAAGCAAGGATGAGGAAAGAAGGCAGGGTTGGGGAAAGGGAGGTGAGCAAGGGTGCTGTGCTCCGATCACTCGTCTATGTCCTCCCACTTGAACCCGTCTCCCCTGAACCCCGGCGGGCACACACACTGTGTGGATGAGCTGTCCTGCTCGGGTGAAAGGGCGGATGGAGATGCGGGCAGAGGGCGGGGTTGGGAGTAGAGAGGTGAGCAAGGGTGCTGTGCACTCTGTGCACTCGTGCAAGGTGTGCACTCGTCAAAGTCCCATCCCGTCTCCCCTGAAGCTGGTAGGCAAACAAGCTTTGCACCTACCTGGCAGAGGCAGGTAGACGAGATTCGGTTCCAGGCCACATGACGCGGGCAAGTGACATGACATGTGCCTCCCTTACAGGCAAAAGCAACGCTTGGCACCTGGCAGGCACGTTTGGCAATTTGGAAGCCGGTGAAGGTTATGCTGTCTAGAAGCAACGCACCTGGCAGGCAGTGAAGGTTTGGCCATCGCCAGCCCCCTGCCAGCAGCCGCCATTGTTGACCAGACAGCGACCCACCCCCGTGGCTGCAGGGGACGGATGGGGGCGTGGGGGAAGGGGGGAAAGGGGAAAGGGGAAGGGGGTCGTTGTGTGCGCCCAGCCAGGAGTCTTCTGTTTATTTAGTGCCTCAAATCAGAGGGCATGTGGTGAACTGCACTTGGTCATACTCTCTCATTGCATGATCTCTCATCCCATGCTCTCACCCCATGCTCTCACCCCATGCTCTCTCGCCCCATGCTGCCTCGCCCCATGCTCTCTCGCCCCATGCTGCCTCGCCCCATGCTCTCTCGCCCCATGCTGCCTCGCCCCATGCTCTCTCGCCCCATGCTGCCTCGCCCCATGCTCTCTCGCCCCATGCTGCCTCGCCCCATGCTCTCTCGCCCCATGCTGCCTCGCCCCATGCTCCCTCGCTCCATGCTCCCTCGCCCCATGCTGCCTAGCCCCATGCTCCCTCGCTCCATGCTCCCTCGCCCCATGCTGCCTCGCCCCATGCTCTCTCGCCCCATGCTCTCTCGCCCCATGCTGCCTCGCCCCATGCTCCCTCGCTCCATGCTCCCTCGCCCCATGCTGCCTCGCCCCATGCTCCCTCGCTCCATGCACCCTCGCCCCATGCTGCCTCGCCCCATGCTCTCTCGCCCCATGCTGCCTCGCCCCATGCTCCCTCGCTCCATGCTCCCTCGCCCCATGCTGCCTCGCCCCATGCTCCCTCGCCCCATGCTCCCTCGCCCCATGCTGC